TTTAGATTAAATCCCATCCCATTGATGGATAATCCAGAATGGATTTTATAATGTTGATACTAAATATCTCAAATAAACATAGAAACATAGGTTTCAAATCAAAAGGAACACCATTTGTATCAATCAAGTATTGYTTATTTTACTGAAAATGTCTCTTCAGTATTTACTTTGCCTTATAGTTGATGCTTTCAAATTCACTGAAGAAGCACAAAAGAACATACTATCCATGCCATTCAACAACTGTCAAATCCTGCTAGGATTCATGCAGTAACTTCCTAAAGTCTTCAGTAACTACAAGAYGGAAAATTAGAAGTGAAAAGAATGTGTTCCAGAATGAAGAGTTCTTTAAGATGTTGTTTTTGAATGTAATTGTTTTTCTACCTCCTACACTGGGAGAATATCCTAAGCAATAACACATCTTTGTAGGCTTTGAGATGTCTTTATGATTACATTTGCAATTAACACACAAAACGAATTTCATGTATAACTTCAGGAACAATTGTAGGAAACAGCAGAAAAAGCATGCTGTCAGGAYATAATCTTTCATAATTTTGAGATATCAAACCTATGTACTCAGGTTGAATTCTACTTTCTATGATAAATTCATTTTCCCAAAATTATGTGCAGTTACATGCACTAATGCAGACCAGCTGAAGGTTTCACTGCTGTAACAAAGCACAGAATACTTTTCCCTCTGACCTTACAAGTTGTGGTGCTGGTGACCAATATGCGACCTAATATTTGACCTTTAGCCCACTGCTAATGTTCAGCTCTGTTAAATTCATCTSCATACAAAGAACTCTTATTCCTTCTGAAGCAACAGCTGAGGATTTAAATAGTCTTTCCACCTTGGGCTGCTCCCAATCTAGAGGCTAAAAAAAATAATTCAAATCATATTCCATCAATATGCTRATGCAATTGGTTTGTTAAATTCTGGTAACTCTGAAATTAGTTATGCTTTAGCATTTATATGTATGTAGGACTTTGTTATAATTTATGAACAACAGAATTTCATTTTATCTYCAATTACTTGGAATTAGATTGGTTGTTAGGATGACAACTGTGACTTAATCTCCACGTTTTTCTCCTTGTCTGAACACATGATGAAAAAACCTATTTCTAGAAACATAAAAGTAGCTGAAATAATTTCTCACATTCACAACTGCATTYCTAGGCCTTATCAGAGCCACATACTTTTTTGGGGGGGTGGAGRGGGTGGCCTAACTGATTAATCCACAATTCATTACACCAAGCAATATTATTGTGTCTATTTAGCTGGAATTCTACATCTGTGATTTTGGATGGCTGTACAAAACCATGGAGTTTTATATTCTCATCATAGAAATATTTAGATCTAGTGCAGGCAAGGCATTATTAGAATATGCCTAGTGCATGGAATACATAAATGAAAACAGAAAACAGCAATTACATCAGTTCTTAYAGTTATTAGAACTTGAGATTCCATTACAGCTTCAGCCCAAATGGCAATATATATGTCCCCCCCRCAACAGAATTCAAATACAAATTGTAAGCAAAATAAATATCAATGTACAATACGTTTAGAGGGAAATGCCATTTCCTTTACCAAGATCGAGACAGYGCACTTCAAAAATGGAAAGCTACCTTAGACATTAGATCCATGTTGAATATTCAAAACTGGTTATATTATTGATTTGTTAAAAAAAAATGTTAACAGCAAATCATACCTAGTTGCAGCACACAGATTAGTTCCATAAACTCAAAATTACCCAGAAAATGAAAGACAGTAATTATTTGGAAGGGTGGTGTTTTATGTTGGTTTTTTTTTTTTTTTCCCCTGGAATATAGCTATGGGTTTTTAATCAAAACAAAATCTTTTGATCTGGGGAATAAGTCAGGCCAACCAGTGCAGTGACAGATGTTTCTTAGCTGTCTCCAAACATGAGAACCAAAARACAAAGCACCTCCAGTGAATGTGTCCCCATGCAGAGATTGTGGAAGCTCTACTGAATGCCTGAGTCAAGGTCAGAGGGGTCATCTCCAAGGGGAATCTTTCAGTAGGCATCTGCTACTGACCATGAAACCAAGGCTGTAATACCAGTGAAGATATATTTGGGTCACTTCAGCAAACTTTGGGTCAACAGAACCTGGTTCTGACTTCAACTACCCAGACTCTTCCTGGAAGACCAATACAGTAGCTCACATGTTATCCATCATGTTCCTGGAACACATAGAGGGCATATTTGGAGTACAGATGTTAGATGTGGTGAGGGTGAGGCACTGCCAGACTTACAACTCACATTCCAAGTAAACCTGCTTTGTAACATCTTAATTAATGGCAGCTTTGGGTGTCACGATGACAGTAGTGTGGAGTTTGGGATCYTGCTGACCATGCTGAAAGTCAGTGTTGAGACAAATATTTTAGATTTAGAAGAGCAAAATTCAGTATGCTCAGGGTCCATTCAGAAGGGATGCCATGGGAAACTTCCGTGGAGGATAAAGGAGCCCGGGAGTGAATGCTGGGAGTGTTTCACCAACAGTCCCCTGGAAACRCAAAATCAGTTCATTCCCTTTAAGACCAGGAAAGCAGGCAGAGCAAGAGGCCTCCTTGGCTCAACTGTGACCCTCTGAATCTGCWCAAAGTCAGAAGAGAAGCGTACCAGTGATGGAAAAGCAGGAAAAYACACGTTGGGAATTACAACATTGATAGGGTGTACAGAGAACTTTACAAAGTTCAACAAGGCCAAGTGTAAGATCTTGCACCTGGGAAAGCAAAATCCAGGAGTGAAGCACAGGCTGGGATGGACCTGGCTGGGGGGCAGCTTTGTGGAAAGGGATCTGAGGGGCAAGCAGCTAAACATRAGTGAGCACTGTGCTGTCATGGCAAAGAAATCCAAAGGGATGACAGACTGCATCAAAAAGGGCATCTCCAGCAGAGAAAAAAWTACCATTATCTCATTCAGTACTTGTCAGGCTACAACTGCAATACGATGTTCTCTGTGTTTAGCTTTGGTCCCTTCTTTGCAAAAAAAAAAACCCAAACATAAAACCATGGACAAGCTGGAGTCCAGACAAGGGCCACAAGGATAATAAAAGGCCTGGGAAGCCTGACATGGGGAAAGGCAGAGAACTGTGTTGGTTCAGCCTCGAGAAAAGAATGCTTAGGGGAGACTTTATCACCATTTCAGTTTTTAAAGGGTGGCTACAAATAAGAGACTCCCTTTTTACAAGGAGTCACATGGAAAAGATGAGGGGAAATGCATACAAATTACTTTATGGTATGCCAGTTGAATATTGTTCCAATGGGATTATTCCAATCTCCCCAGCACTGGCCACTTTAAATATTTGGCTGGTCAGGGTGCTTGGCTACTTTGTCCAGACCACATTGCTGACARAAAGGTTGGACCAGGTCATCCCTGAGGTCCCCTCCAACCTGGTATTCTGATACTATGATCTTACTGATAAATTGAGAGTGTGTGAAATGTTTCAAACTTTGTTAGCAGCTTCTAACAAAGCAGTAGCTTTTTTACATTAAATATTACATTCAGTACTCCCCCTTCTTCCAAATATTAAACTGTGTTGATGCATTATCTGTTCTGCACMATGCAGAATGTGCCCAGTGATACAATGCAGAGACAGACAGATCTATTTGAAGATAGTGCTGAAACATCCTGTRTGGACAACACTGCATTGTCCAAAGGGAACCAGGGCACCATCAGTGCCATTCACACACAAGATATCTTTGTAGCCTRTAAATTAAGAGGGGCCAGGGGGAGGGGAAGGCTATCTAATGTAATTTGATTTTTCGTGGAAAAGCTATTTCAATTGTTAGTGTGTGTCAGGTATAGAACACTCCACAGAGCCATCATTCATATATATATTTATATATAAATATATATACACACACACACACATAAATATATAAACACACATGCACTGACTAAAGCACCTTATTCTTAACAATKCTGTTTCTAAGGATGTGGAATGAAACTTTCAAGTTTCACAGACATAAGGCCTCTAATTCACACTTCCTTCACTGCTGGAGTAATTAGGCAGTATGTTCATGCTATGATCAAAGACTACTTCACAGACAAACTTTTTATCATTACGAATTCCTCACAAGAAACAGCTGAAAACTTCTGTCAAATTAAGCCTTGTCCCTGTTAAGCCACTAAAGCATTATACCATCTGCCTGTCCCTTGTTGCCAGGCAATAATGCTATATAATGCAGACGCAGTCAAACACACATCAACGTCTTAAAAGTGAATACAGTGACCTATACAATAACAATTATTTGGAGAAAGGTAGCTTAAAACCTGCAAAGATGCCTCCCTGTCAAAGGGGGAAAGTTACAATGGCAACAATTTCATTGGCACTGTAATTAAAATGAAGAACGAAGTTCATCAATACAAGCACATGTGTCTCATAAGGTGTGGCATTCTGTTGCAGTTTAATTCAGTGAAAGAGAGCAAGCCATTGACCAGTGGCAGCATAATAAGAAGTGAGACATTCAAGGAAATCTGGAATCTGTGAAGAAAGTTAAGGGTGAGATAAAGGCCYGAGAGAATCTAAATTACTGAATATAGTTCTTATGATATGGCTGGTTTTGATCCAGACAAGCATGTCCACGATCTCAAATAAAAGGTCTGTTAAAGGTCTGTTTAAGGTCTGCAGAACAAGACACTTTACCAAGCAACMAAATTAATTAGAAATAATCAAAATAGAATAAGAATTAAGATGTGACMATTTTTTTAAAATCCTCTTCCCAAACATATACATAACAAGGCACATTAGGAGAAACATCTTCAATAATTTTATTATTCAATTTGACTTAAATACCTGAAACCAGTTTTCTCACAATTTAAGACAATGGGGAAAAGTTTCAATTGCTTTTTACAGATGTCATAAATTCATTGTCTACTAAAGTGCAATGGTTGTGTGCCAAAAAGTGTAAGCAGAAAGTAAAAGACACAAGACAAAAAAAAAAAAAAAAAAACAAAAAAAAAAAAAAAAAAAAACACATGTAATCAGTTTGTGAAGACATTCAAAAACAGTGAGAGCATATGTATTCAGCCACATTTTTAAAGCAATTAAAAGTAAAAATAACACTGAAAATGTTTATAAACCTATATATTAACTTGTTCCCTTCAAAGCCCATAATTTTGTACAGTTTTTAAACAAGATTTTAATGCTTTTAAAGAAAACAAAAAGTATTAGCATTCTTAGTACTTCAAAGAAATGTATGTGGAATAAGATAAAGGCAGACAGGTGAATTATATTTTGAAGCACTAAGCACTGACTGGATTGCAAGATATATTTTAAACATCTTCTTTTAACTGTGCAGTAGGTGCCAGTGTTTGAAACAGTCCTGAAAGTTTTTTTGACATCATAACAGCAAAACTTTTGAGTGATTTCATCCCCCACATCAGCATTAAGAGAAAACTGCTGAAAAGCATTCAGTGGAGAAAAGACAAAAAAAAATTCCTTATTCCTCATGGAACTTTATGCCTTTTCAATTTTGTATTTCATAAATAATTAGTCATTAGACTTAAAATTTCTCTTTACTCCAAACACTCACATTAAAGACATTTCACATGCACAACACCACTCTGTCCCTTTTAAACTAGAAAAGCACAAACTACTGAAAGCTAAGCATTTSAAAGTTCCAGGTACCTTAATCTTTCCAAAGTTACAAAGTGTTCAGAARCAAGGTAGTAAATACATTAGTGCTGCTCCACTTACAAATTTTTGGAGATGGTATCTATTTTATTAAACTTAATATTTTTGTTCAGTAGAAAACCAACATATCATATTGTTACTCCTCTCCATTTCCCTCACAGGTGTATTTTCTGAGAGTTTGTTACATTTGTGTGCTCCTTACAGAACACATATAGGGGTAAGGGTCCTACCAGTGCTTAATTAAATATAGGGAGTTTATTAAATATAGAGAGTACCCTTTCTCAGGTTTGCAGAAGGGCTGGTAACCATCTGTGTGTTTAAGACAAAATAATTTTGAGGAAAACATTAATTTAAGATTTGTTTGTGCATACACAACAGATTGTACTTAGCAACCTTCAGACAGTCTCCCTAAACTCCTGATTTCTGACGGGCTAAAATCACAGAGAAATGTGCTGAAGAAGAAAACTGCCACGAGCCATTCTTGACATAGTGCTAATTATATCAGGGTTGTTAAAGCTGTGGTTCTTAAACCCCATCAAAATTCATCCACATTTTGCAACACACCTAACAGTTGTTTTGAATGCTGAACAAGAATATTCATCATTCAAAGAGATTCTGCCAACACACAAAGTCAGTTACCTTGCTATTTCACCTGATTTCACGGCGAACTCCGCACATTCACAGAATTCTTCTACATTCCAGAGCTTACCCAGCCACCCGCTCAGAATCCATCCCYAAGTTTGGCACACAGAGTAACTTTTCAGGACAGCCCCTCTTTTTCACTACAACGTGTTAAGGACAGAATCSCATCGTCAAGCGTGGACCTCCCTTGGCAGCTGCTCCAGGAATAATTCTTATTACTCCAAGAATTCATCTCCTCTTGGCTCACAGGGATCCCCCCTCGCCSGTGACAGAGGCGCGTAAGGCGCAGTGCAGGAGAGCAGCAGTTCCAGCGCTAGAGGACAGCCTCTCATTTGACTGAGCCCCGACATTTGTAGTGCACTTTCCACATCGCTTCCTTCCTCTCGCACGACAATTCGAGTTCATAAGATGAGGAATCCACTTKCAGGAAGCTTTTCTTCGGATTAAAGATTTTTTTTTTTTTTTCTCTCCCCTCTTTCTACATAAGTCTCAAAGCGTTGCAAGAATTCTTGAGAATGAGATAATTAATGTCAGTACTGTCTGTCCAACACCAAAGACAAGAGCTTCTAGGGGAGCCATATTCTTTCCTGCTACTCTGTAAATTCCAGCTACTGCAGCACCTAAGAATCACAAGAAGAACAATGATCAAAACACAGGAAAAGCCAAGGCTGAAATACATGACAAATTATTTACCCTGTCTATGCATCAGTTATTTACAGAAAATTACCAAACACTATATTACTTCATGGCATTACACAATTATCATCCTTGCTTGTATTTTTATAGTTCAGTACATCCTTCAGGAATGATATTCCTAATGGAGCTGGATCAACTTTTTCATCATCAGTTTAAGAAAATTGMATCTTGTTGTTTCCCCCTGTAGACATCTTCCAATATATAAAAAAAAAAAAAAATCTTTTTTTTTAAACATTTTGTGCCTTGCGCCATTTTGAAAAGGTAGCAAGAAAATCCTCTAAAAATTGACCAGGTCTGAAGTGTGATTTAATATTGTTTGTACAGGCAGGGAGATGACAAGAACAATAAAGCTGCTAGTGTCAACAAAACAATTATAAACACACATTTATCAGCTTCATTTAATATTTCAGCTGGATAAAATGGTCATGTTATATGAGTTTATTTTGACTTAAACTACTTAATTGTTAACAATTGTTTAGMAAATGCAGCAAAACATGAAAAAGGTCAAAGTATTGCAGTGTAATCCACAAATGTATATGAGAGGAAATTTCTAACCAACACAATCAGATTTTGAGCCATGGCACATTAAAAAAAAACAACACATTTTACCTGTACAATTGTGTGCAAATTCACAAATTGTATTTGAAATATAATATCAAGAAGCCAGGATCAGCCAGAAACAAAACATTGCATTGCAACACAGCCAGGGGCTACTGACTCCCTTCTCCTGTCTTTTGCACACTAAATTCATCACATGTGTCTGAAGAAGACAAGTCACAGAGCAAATGTACAGCTGGGACATCATGGGGCAAATGCCTGGGAAAGATCAGTCCTTGTGTCAATTTTAAAAACCCTAACAAAACATGCTAATGATGAATAGTATTTTCTGCTCAAATTTCTAAGTCTTTTAAGGGTGGGAAAAAAATCCTTTAAAAAAAAAACAAAACAAAAAACAAAACAAAAAACCCCCCAAAAACAAAACCAAAAAACCTAGCTTGTATACAGCTGTGTCCACAGGTAAAAAAATTTACTTAATCCAAACCTCAGCTCACCTAGAATTAATCTTTCATTTAATACTTTCTGAACTGATATTGTCTATTCAGTTGTTCTTTTGCTTCCCTAGAGAATAAACATTACTGTTCTTTATTTTGGAATGAGTAACTTTTTCCTGAAAATCAAACCCAAAACTTAATTGTGGACCTGCAGTAGGTATCATCTCAGATGCTATCTAGTTATCATTAAATGCCTTCAGAGATGACAGAAGCTTTTTYAGGCTCAAAAAGGACTGAAAAGCCATTACAGTTTTTTAAAATACTAGGCAAAGGTTACAAAAAAATGTGAATTTTTTTGGTTTTGCACAGTCAGGAACAGTCTGTTGAAGTGTTAAAAAAATCCCTTAGTGACACAGAAATACACTGAGTTCCAACAGATTTTCTGAAAGCACAATTAGCATCTGAATCATCTGACATCTTCAGAAAGTAACACCACATTCTTACAATAACTTTAGGAAGAGAAGAATTCACTAATGATTGTGGCCATAACAGTACTTACAAATACTATTAATCATACTGTTAGGTAAGTTTTGGGTTAATTTCTTTTTATTGCTTCTTTTTTTTTTTTTTTTAAAAAAAAACCCATATTCTGTTAAGTGTATTTTGTCTGAAATATCTCACCAGAAGGCTAGCCTTATGGTATTTCACTCAGGTACCTTGCATAAGCTTTTCCATTTGTTCCTTGGCTAGCTGCTGTCAAAAACTGAAAGAGATCCTTTAGACTGAGCCCATTACTGACACTAAAAATATTTTTGGGATCCARCTCTCAAAGGGAATTCAAATTGGCCTAAAATGGATACCAGAATTGTCATTACCAGATTGATAAAGATATTTTGGGCTTCTTGAGAAAACACTGAGATACTCTGGAAAACATCCAGAAAAAAAACCAATAAAAATTTGCTAGTTTGCTAATTATATATTATTACACAAAGAATAGTGTGCAGTGCAACCTGTAATGCATAACCCATCACAGCTGGTGGGGAGCCAAAAGTATGTAAAATAGCCTGCCAGTGAGAGAAATGAGAATACGCCACCAAAAAGGAGTGTGCTGGGGAAGAGGAGGAAGAACAGACCTTTCTGGATTAAAYACAGCTAAAATCCTTGCATTAAGCTGCCTGGCATTCACATATTCTTGTTTGGCATGGTTGGTTATTTTTGGTTGTTGTTTTGTGCTTTTGTTTGTTTTTCTTATGGTTTGGTTGGGTTTTGGTTTTGGGTTTTTTTAGNTTTTTTTTTTTTTTTTTTTTTACTGTATCCCCTGCTAATTAGTAATTCTTCAATACCTTATTTAATAACCATTAATTTCCATGATTTTTCAAATCTTAGAAACGGAGGAGTCTCCTACTTTTCTATATGCTGGTAAAAATGTCCCAGAATATCAGAAAGTGCAAAACTAAACTTACACTGTGCAATAGTCTAAACTGCCTTCATTCATCTACATAAAAAAGCAGAGGACTGGAAATACAAAGTAGAAATTAAAGTCAGTTTGCTGTTTCAATTTCTTAAGCACTGGACCAGGCATATCCAAACCACAGATATTTTGACTTGCATCTCTCAGTTTGCAACACAACAGCTATTAAAAATGCTCTTTAATATTTCATCTCCATAATTTGTCTTCAGAAGCTCCCCACAGAATTTCTTTCAATATGAAACAACTCAATTCTGTCCAGAAACAAAAAATACTTGAAGGTAGAAGTATTTGTCTAACCAGCTTGCAATGCTCTGTGCAAAACCTTTGGGAACAGCATAACAAGCCTAAAGCCTAAGCTCAGAGAAATTCTAAGATGAATATGCACACCAACAGAACTGCTTGCATGCTAAATGTTTTGACCTGAAAAACTGGATGCCAAAAATACAACTGTGTTGCTCCTCTTTTYATGCAAAGATAAAAACACACAGTGTACTTTTATTTGGAAGACACTGATCCTGAAACCTCACCACAGAAAGCTGTGAAAGTCTCTGCTTGGGATTTCAACACCACATTTCCTAACTTCAGTTCTTCAGAATCAAAAATCAGCCTAACATAAAATGTAAGGCAGTCAATTAGTTCCAACCTATCTTAGAAAAAAACAAACAAACWAACAAAGAAAAAAACCCACACCCAAAACCCAACAAAAAATAGTTATACTGAACTATACTGTGTTAAATTGTGGAAATTCAAAGCTGAGAAATCTGTAGCAATTAAAACAACCTTTTGAGCAAAGTTGCAGTGAAACTTCTCATGACATTCACATTTTTATTTAACCTTGAAAAACAATAGGCAGGAAGAACTTCCAGTAGCAATAAGAAACAGTCTGGCACAAATTCTCTATGAATGTGTCCAAAGCTGACAGTGAAACCATTATTCTGATAATCTGGGCAGAACACAGGAAAACCAGACTGAACAGTGGGAAGTTTTGCCTTCAGACTATAGGGTGAYTGCTGCATTTACAGTTCCTTACCCTCAAAGACCTTTCAAGTCAGGCCATCTTATCTGCAACACTGAAGATTTTTGGGCAGAAACTGCTGCTCAGTTAACACAGGCACCATTCAACACATGGATTTTAATGCTGAGAACTCCTTACCAGCATTGTTTCAGACAATGAAGCACACGCTTCTTTCCTGCAAAATTAACACTCACTATTTTCCCCCCTACAACAGAAAACTCACCATACTCCCACTTGCTTAGGAAAGCTACTGCARTCTATATATAATTTTTGATAAACATAGCTGGATATAATAAAACCTAAGAATGAATAAGGTGTCATAGAGGTTTTATGGCCTATACTTCAGTGSTGACACAAATCGTGGAATTTCTTGGGGAAGATGGAAACACAGTGTCCAATAACTCTAGATGAAGACAGAAAGCAGCATTTTCTCAAAACGTTCTTGGCAACATCACTCATGTCATATTWGGTCAGGTGTAACGCTTCTGCACTATACTACATAAAATACTCCCTCCTTCTGCAATGTTTTAATCATGAGTGTAGCTTTTCACTACAGCTCTCTGAMCCTTTGGGCTTTACAAGAAAAAATGGGTTCATCTCTCCGAGGATACCATGTAAAGAAATAAAAAAAAAATGTATCCTGAGTGGCAGGCATTCATCTAATACCATAAGAAACTCTGTAACAGATGACCCTGCCAAACAGCATTTTACCTAGAGCATCAGCAAAGCCTAATTTTTTTTTTTTTTTTTTTTTGGGGGGTGGGGTTGAAAATCATTCTATAACTATTGCAAAATCCTTAATAAACAGTTAACAATTCACTACAAAAAGCAGGGTTTTTTTTCTTTTTACAAGTTAGATGTAAAATAAGAAAGGAGAAAACCCCAAAACAACAAAAAAACCCCAAACAAAAACAAAAGGCACACTTACTGGTTATCATTGCTCCAGTTATAGAACCCAGAAATCCAATGCTGACCACAATGACAGAAATCAGCCTCCCCTGCCTATGCCTCTGCAGCATCACAAACATTAACACTCCCACAGCACCATGGACAAASAGAGAGGAGAAGAGAGCCCAGAGGAAAACCCAGTACCACATCTCTGAAAGAAAGCAGTCAAATAAAGGGTTAATTTTTTTAAGAAGCGAACTTTATAAATAAGAAACTTTAAAACATTGCAAACAATCAACAGTAATAGAAAAGCAATACTGACTTCCATCTTAAAAGTGACACCAGCAGCACATGCTTGAGACTCTTGCCTCATTTCAGCAGTCTATCATAAAGGATTAGCTGTATTATGTTAAAAATTATAAAAAGAGTTCTGGCAAAAATCTTGTAATTTTACAAGTCATAATTCCTTTAATGACTTCTTTAAATAGTGTTAATTGCAATTTCTTAGTAGGCATTGTAACTACTTCTGTAGCATGAAATATTCTTTGACACAAAGACTGAAGGAGGAAAAAGTCAAGAACTGTTTTGG